GTATTCATCATTTTCCTACACATTTATTCACAGGTGTCTTTAACCTGCATCTTTGTGCAGCGTATACTCAAACAGTGATAGGAAGAGCCCACTGCCTGACTCGGACATGCTGTGGAGTGAATCGTGGTCACCTCTGAGAGGGAGTTGGTTGACAGCTAAAAAAGCTATAATATCAACGACAGCTGACACGTAATAACGGTTCCGTGCCAGCTGATCTGTGTGCACCAAAGTACTTATTTCCTTATGTGTTTCCTGGCGTATCTGTCTCTCTCTCCACAAACTATCACATGAAATGTGTTCTTCTGATGCGGCATGTCTTAGCAGTCCTTTATCAGTCTGTAATGCGTGTTTCCAGTCGCAAAAACATTTGACAGTAAAAGCCGCATCAGATGAATACGTATTTACTTTAAACTGTCTACAGGGGAAACAAAAGGCTGCGTCTGCTTTTAACGAATATTCAAGGGCATGATCACAAGTAAAATCATAACGAAAACTACGCCGGTCAAATATGCGTGTAGAAAACGGCTTATGCACAATATGATAGCAACAAGTAGTCAAAATAGTCTGATACCACCAGTAGAATGCCAGAGAAACTTTCATAACAGCGTTGTGATGCCAACAGCTTTCAGACTAAACCACATTCACGGATGGGGATGGGGGATATTTATCAGCTGCTTGTGTGACAGTCAGACAATGAAAACTTTACAGCGGCCGCTGCCGCGAGTTAACGGGAGAATAAACTCTGGTAGACGAGCAGCACTGCAGCGGGCAGTAATGCAGCTGAACCACGTTAATAAACAATGCACCACGGCACTCTGGAGAAAGGTATAAGGTTGGAGAGGTAGTTCTTTAATTTAATCTGGCTTTGTATAATTAAAAAATACCCGACGCCGACACAATGAGTGGACCAAAGAAACCAAAGAAAAATCAACATTGAGTGCCGAGTGTATAATTAGGAGTGGACAGCTAAATATTTTTTCACCGATCTGCTACTGGCCCGGCCCGTCTGTCAAACTTTAAAACTCATTGTGGCCCCTGAGCCAAAAGGTTTGCCCACCCCTGCTCTATACTATACTATCTTTTTCTTATATGTGAGAAACAGATTTACAAAAATACATTTGTTTAGAATGGTCCTTCCAGAAGGGCAAAAGGTGGATTTGCAAATGGAGGGTTTTATGTTTTAATGGTGGAAATGTTTAGAGAATGTCTAATGATAACTGCTCAGTTCCTACAATTTGAGATCAATTTCATTCATTGATGTATTTCTCCTAATGGAATTGAATCTGCCACCACACTGATGACCTAAGCCTCTCACTCTGCACTCACCTGTTCCTGAGGCCCAGAGGGAGGTTCCTCTTCCCCACGTCAGTGGCTGGGTTCATGCAGGCGAAGAGCCGGAAGTCTGGGTGCCGGACCAGGGGCTCTGTGACAACACAACAATATTAGACAACAAAACACTCATATATTACAGTAGCAGAAACATATATACATATGATCTGACATACAGTTGTGTAAGTAGCTGTTGTGCAAAATGTTCAAGTAATGGAGGGAGGAACTGAAACTATGGAGCAGTGAGCTCTCTGCCGGCCAGAGGTGAGCTGTTGTAAAGTGTTAGAAGTTCATTTGATGATTGAGTGAGTGATGGATTAGGGAGGATGCATTTGGTGCTGTGGATCTGGTGTGAATGCTGTGTGTCCTTAAAAGCTGGAATATCGATAAGTAGTGTCTTCGTAGTCTTTAATGGAAGTGGAGGAATCAATTCAACTTTTCATCTATCACACATGTACACAGCAGCACAAACAGCATGTTGACTCTTCATGTAACCCATCCTGAGCTGATGTCACACAGTAAATGGAACTACAGTCAGACTCAGATAACCAGTTCCAGTTATATAAAACATTTGCTAAACTTTTATGATGAAATGGTCTGATGAGCATTCAGCTAATGTGGTCTGCCAGCCAGAGTGCTATTCCAAAGACCATACGGGTAAGACATGTCAGTTGATTGTGAATCTGGACTTCTAGAGAAACAATAATGATAGAAAATATGCTTAACCACTGTGTGTATGAGTATTTAACTATGGTTCAAATGTTGAAATCTGAATCTGACGGCATTCAATATGAGACACAGAAATAGAGTTGGCACTTGATTTATATTCAGTTAAATACTATTAAATCCCAGCCCTGTTTGTCGAGTCCTCACCGGTGTCTCCTCGGTCCAGCAGCACCAGGGAGCCGGCGCTGCCCTCCAGCAGCCCACTAAGACACTCCAGAGTCTCAGCTGCTGCCAGGTTGATCTCATCCAACAGGATCCAGTGGCCCTTCTTCACCGCCTGAGCCAGCGTCCCCTGAGGAGGGCACACAGAGGTCAGAGCCGCTCCACCACAAGAGGTTCCTTCTACATACCCCACCTCATCTCTCTTACAACAACTCTTCATACCCTTCCTGTCCAGTGAAAACCATTTTTTTGAAAGTTTTTAATAAACAGAAGGATGTTTCTACTGTATATGTATTGAGAAAAACTCTTAAGCTGAAAACCATTTTCAAAAGCATCTTTAAAACAGCTGGAAAATGCATTGTGACAAAGCTGAAAACAGGGCTGTGTTCCATGAGGTAGCTACAAAAATATAACTATCTTAAATAATATATATATAGTATATAGAGGAGTTGAAATGAGCATAAACATCAACATATTTATAACAGTTAAATATTGAGAGGGAACATTTTACTGCACAATAAATACTTTTAATTTGAGATAATTTCAGAACGTTTTGCTTATAACACTTCCTTAAGAAAGGTTTTAAATGCAGGAATTGTACTGTGTGGCATTCATATCTTTACCTCCTCCACCCCCGGTTATTTGAAGTTCTAATGTACGGAGAGTAACGGGGATGTTTATGTGGTACGCATTGTGGTCCTTATGCTATCAGGGCACTCAGCGAAGAAACATTTTTGTGAGTCTTTACCTCCACAAATGCAAACACCATGGCCGCCTCACAGGCTCGGATCTGCTGCTGGGTCTGGTTCAGCTTAGCAGCCAGAGCCTCCCACTGTTCCTGCAGCTGAGCGGCTACACACACACACACACACA